CATTCATTGATGCAGTTTTGACAGCTTTCAATGAAATTTTGATTTCCTGGACATCTCTTTGAATCTGTTTCTTGCATTCTAATTCTTTCTTATGTTGTTCATTCAAGGTTTCAATTATTTTGCCATCTTCCTCTATTTTTTTAACTACGTCTTTAGATGTGTTCACCATTTCTTTCATTACATTTATCATTTCTTCTTTTACCTGAGAGATTATTTCTGACCTGAGTTCCTTTATAGCTTCATGGAGTTGTTTCTTTACTTCAGATGCTATCATTTCAGAAGTTTCAGGTGTATGACTTACATTTTCTTCTATGTCCATGTCTCCTAAGCTTGTTTGGGATGTGCTACAGTTTGTGATTACGTTTTGCTCTTTCATTTTGTCACTTTCCTGTATTCCCCTGCAGCAGCTGAATGCAGTTTCAGCTGTTTCTTGGATTGAGGATGGCTGTCTGTGCTTCAGGGAGTTTCTCCAGTTGAATGGGGGACATTAGGCAGTCCTTGACAGGTCCCTAGTGGCACTAAAAGGCTTCCCAAGTTGGGGTGGTGCTGGGTGTACCTTCAGCACACATCACATGGCTCACCGAAGCTCCCAGCTGCTTGAGGTCACATGGTAGGGTCCTACTAGGTTCTGAGTGGAGTACCAAGGCTGAACGGTAGATGGAGTGCACTGGGCAGATCTTCAGTTTATACCATGGGTTTACATTTAAGCTCTTTAACTTCTTGGGGTCTCTGGGTGGGGCCTTACCAGGTTCCACACAAACATACGAAGGCCACATGGCTAAGTGGATTTTGCTGTGCAGGCCTTCAGCCCACACCACACAGCCCACTGAAGTTACTTAGCTGCTTGGTGTAGCTGGGCAGGGCCCAATCAAGACCTGAGTGAAGAGCCAAAGGTTCTGGACTGTTTGGGGATGCTGGACTGGCCCCACCAGGTTTTGAGCCAGGTCCCAAGGCTGCACAGCTAAGTAGAGTTTGCTGTGGATGACTTCAGATTGCACCGCTCAGCACACAGTGGCTCCCTAGCTACCTGGAGGGTTGCTGTATGGGGCCCAGGCAGAATCCAAGTGACAAACCAAAGGTCCTGGATTATTTGGGTATGCTGGGTGGGGCCCTACCAGGTTCCAAGCAAGGTCCTGTCACTGCACAACTAGATAGAGTTCACTGTAGAGGCCTTCAGCTCACACTGCTCAGCATGTGGCAGCTCCCTAGCTACCTGGGAGTCAATGAGTGGGAAGACACTTTTTAAAGACTTTTTTTTTGGTGTGTCTGTGGTACAAGGGATTGAACCACCCAGGGCCTTTGCACTGAGCATCCTCAACCTATTTTATTTTTATTTTGAGACAAGTTCTAGCTAAGTAGCTAAGTTGCCCAGGCTGGGCTTGAACTTGTGCTTCTTCTGCCTCATCCTCCTAGAATGAAAAGTATATTCTAATTAAGTTTATTGGTACATTTTAGATGTACATAATGATCATATTCATCATAGGGAATTTACACCCACATGACATATATTTTGACTCCTCTTTTTTTTAAAAAATATTTTTGATTTGTGTTTGGTTGAACTCTCCGATTTGGAATTGACAGGGAAAGTCAACTGTAAGTGTCATGTTCATTCTTTAAAGCTGCTGTTCATTGAGTCCCTGAGCCTATTCCACCTTTCCAATCCATTTCATTATTGATTAAGAGAGTAAGGACAGGTTTCCTTACTTGGAAACAAAATGAAAGAATGTACCACGTAACACATAAAAATGGTGGTCCCCCAAATTAAAATTGATAGGTAAATAAGCCAACTGGCCTGCAAGTTGTATAAAAATATAGCACAGCTATGTGTTGCCATGTATGTCTGTAACCCCAGCACTGGTGGAGGCTGAGACAGGAGGATTGTTGCAAGTTCGAGACCAGACTGGCCAACAAAGTGAGCTCAAGGCCAGTTTGAACTGCACAGGAAGACCCTGTCTCAAAAAAAAGACAAACAAGAAACAGAACAAAACAAAATAAAACCAAACCCCCAAACAAACAAAAGTATAGCACAGACAATTACATGTAAGACGTAATACTTGATAATAAACAGCTGTGTTATTAGCATCCCCACCACTTGAACCTTCATTTCAGTGTCTATACTAACAATTCAGCCAGACTTAACATTGCCTTCTCAACCCTCTTGGTTAAGAAGCTTCAAAGCTTAATTATGCAAATATTGCCATGTTTACCCATGCCTACTTGCAAACTCCTACTATTGTTTTCATATGAGAACTTTCTCTTGCTGCATTTGTCTTTGCAAATTGTTTCCTGAAGGCCATGTGAAAGGTGACTCTAGTGAGAGGTCTGGAGAAATTGGAGTGGGAGAGTTGAATCTAAAGAAAAAGAACTTTTTTTTCACTCTTCCCTGCTTTTTAACTCAGGATAAGGGATAACTTACAATCAGACAAATAACAAAGTAATGTAATTTTTAAAAACTTAAACAATGGAGACTCAATAGGAATTGGGAATTCTGCTAAGTCCCTGTCTTCCTAATTATCCTGTTTATTTCTATTTCAAATCTCCATGTTCTGTGCTTTTCATTGTCTTAACTTTTACTTAGAGAACTGGCAAGGATATGAATTCACAGAATTCTATAATTTGGAATGGTAATAGATTAAAGCACAAACCTTTGGACATTTTTCTTGTGGTGTATTAAGTGGTTACCTGAGCAGAGTTATAGAAATTTCATCCCCTGGCTTGAGTCAAAAATTCAAGAAATTTGAATGTTAGCCATTTTAACTGCTCAAAACAGTGCTAAGGGGCCTTCCTCTATCATGATTCTTAAAACATTGTGCTATCATAAACACAAGGTAGCCAATGCAATACTAAGACTTTTTTTCTTATTTAAAAATCCTTGGGAGGAGCCAGGTGTGGTGGTTCACATCTGTAATTCCAGCACTCGGGAGGCTGAGGCAGGAGAATCACCATGAGTTAGAGGCCAAGCCTGGGCTTCAAAGTGAGCTCAAGTCTGGCCTGAACGGCATAGTGAGACCTTGTCTCAAAAAGACCAAAAAGAAAAAATCCTTGAGAGCCTGATGTAGGTAGTGCATGCCTGTCATCTCAGCAATCTGGAGGCTGAGGCAGGAGGAGTTCCATGAGTTTGATGCAACCCTGGGCTATAAAGCTAGATCCTGTTTAAAACAAAAACAAATGCAAAATTCATGGGAAGTATGCACTTTGGTTTCAGCTTGTGTCCCCTAGGAGTTGGGTATACAGCAATAAATAAAATGGACAAAAATATCCTGCTTTCATAACACCAGCATTCTAGTGGAGACACAGACAATAAACAAAGTCCCTGGGCTGGGGATATAGCTCAGTGGCACAGTGCCTACCTGGTAAGTGCAAGGTCCCTAGTTCAATTCCCAGTACCTAAATAAAAAAAAAAGTCCCTTAGAAGCTGAGGGAAGAACAACAAGTGCACAAGCCTGGAGATGGGCAAAGGCCTGCCATGCTAAGGGCCATCTTGGCAGGACAGTGTGGGTGTGAGTATAAGTGGAGACCATGAATGCAGGAGAACCACTGTAAGAACTTTGGTCTTTACTCTTTTCAAGATGATACTGTAGTTTCCTAGGCCTGCTAGAACAAATTACTCACAATCCAAGTAGTTGAAAACCCACAGTAATGCTTTTCTTGAAGTTCTGGGGGCTAGAAATCTGAAAGCACTCCACTCTCCATCTTCATCTTCACATAGTCTTTTCTCTCTGTGTACTTTCTCTTGCCTCCTAAGGACAGTAGTCATGGGTTTGGAGCCTGCCCAGGTAATCTAGGATGACCTCATCCAAGACCCTTACCATCATTACATTTTGCATAGATCCCTCCCTTTCAAATAAAGTCACATTCTCAGGGTCTGGAGATTAGGTTGTGGACATAGCTTGGGGGCCACCTTCCATCTCCTATGATGGGAAGCCTAGGGGATTTTGAGCAGAAAAGGGACACGGCATGATTTAGTTTTGTGGCCCTTTCAAGCCATTGTATTAACAAGGTGTAACTCGGAGTAGAAGGAGGTAGATCTAGAGGAGACCACTGGACAAAACTAGGAAAATCATGACAGCTATAGTAGCAAGAGGAGAGAAGAACCACCAGTGTCTAAATTTCTTCTGAAAGCTGAGCTTACTGGTTTTGCTAGCATGTCTCAGGATAGGTGTGTGAGAAAGAGGGAGCCCCCAGGAGAAACATGAATGGGTATCTCAACTTCACTCAGTCACATATGCACCACTGAAGTATAGAATAAGGGGGAAGTGATCAACTACCGATGGATTGGTAGACCCTGGGGATTTGGATGACCAGTATATGATATTTTTCAGTTTTTTCTCTGCACGGAGTCCAGACTGCAGCCGCTATGGACCTTTAGCCACTGAACCCTTGACATGTAGCCCAGCTAAGAGGCTCAAATCGAGGTGTTAAGTGTAAAACACAAACTGGAAAGTGCAAAAAAAACCGTAAACTATCACATCATATTACGTGTCACTTACATGTTGAAATGCCATTATTTTGGATACGCAGGGGTAAATATGATTCATTTCAAAAAATCAATTTCATTCTTTTCTATTTACTGTTCTTTCTTGTTGCTCACACTTTATACCTACTGGCTAGTGCCACCTGACCTAAAGACAAATTCCAAGCAGCAAAGGGCGTGCAATCCCTCTGCGCCTCAATGTCTTACTTCTTCGCTAGGGACTGATGTGACACCAGCCTGAATGGATTGGCGGGTGAAAGCAATTAGCTGCTGTTCCTAAGCAGAGTGCCCAGCTACAGGGCCAAAACTAACGTAGGAATCAGCCAGCGAGTTGCGGTCGAAGCCACGCCCCCGAGCTTAGGTGGTGGAAGTCAGAGGCTCGCACTTCCAGCCTCGACCGCCAGGGGCCGCCTGAGTCCTGAGGCGCATGAGCAGTTGCCACCACGGCAGTGGCCAAACCAGCCAATAGGACTTGAGCCGACTACCCGCGCTCCCCTCAGGCCCTGCCCCCGATGGTCCCTCCTCTTTCCGCCCCTCGGCGCCGCATGTGAGCTGCGGTGCGCGGGTGGGTGGAGCTTAGCGGCGCGGCCTGACGGGACTGGGGCGGCGGGAGTCTGCCGTAGCAACCTCGGTGGCGGCCCGGCCTGCACTCGCACCGTGCGGTGCAACATGGCGGACGCGGAAGGTAAGGGTGGGTGCGCCTGTGCCGCGAGACCCTGGTGCCGCCCGAGGTCTCGCGGAGCCAGGGTCTAGGCGGTAGCCCCGGGACCCAGGCTGGCTGCCCCTTCCTGCTGGTGTGGTGGCCGCATCGCCGCCGGGCCTTAGGCCGACCTCATTCCGGAGTCCACAGGCGAGTGCGCGGAGCGAGCCTTCGCGGTGACTGGCTTCACGGGCCCGGACCTCCCGGCGACGAGTGTCCACGCGGGGTCGGGTGGCCGTGCTAGCCCCGGGAGAGGAGCGGAGCGCGGGTTCTGGGGTCGCATGCGGCATGCGGGGCCGAGCCTGGGTCTCGAGGAAGCCCTGAGACCCCGGGCCTGCGCGACGGCGGCGAGGCAGCCGGCTGAGCTCCGGACCTGCGGGCGCGGCCACGTGGTGGGGCGGAAGGGCAGAAACATGTGCGGCACGGCGCGGCACGGCCTCCGGGCCGGGCTTGGCTCGCACGCCTTCCCCCCAGTGCTGGACTGAAATCCTGCGTGCCCTGACTGGGATCCGAATTTAAACTTTTTCTCGTTCTCCCGTGTCTTACTTGTTTCTTTTAGCAATTACTTTGCCAAAGAAGCATAAGAAGAAAAAGGACCGGAAATCACTACAAGAAGAAGATGTGGCCGTGAGTAGGATGTGTTTTACTTTGCTTATTACAAAATGAAGTGTACTTAAATAACAGCTGAAGAAAATAAGTGGTTTTGACGTTTCCAAGAAACGAGCTGTAGAAACACATCAAAGTAGAAAGAAGGCACTGAAATGATAAAACCTTGGACAACCGAAGTTGCCAGTGTGCTGTGTAGTTTCCGTGGTGCGGGCCATACCAGCAGTTCTCCCAGGATTTCTCTTAATTTGTCCCACCCACAGCCATACAGTTATCCTTTTGTAAATATTTGGGCCACTTTCCCTAATGAGCTCCCGGTTGCTGCCTTCTCTTTCTTGCAGGCTCTAGTGAAGAGGCATAGAAAGCCTTATTTTCAGTTTGAAAGGCATACACTTTGGTAGTAGTAATTGTTCAAAATCAAGTGAGAAGGTCTAATAAGTTATGTTTCTATCCTGTGGAAGGAAATACAACATGCCGAAGAATTTCTTATCAAACCAGAATCCAAAGTGGCTCAGTTGGACACATCTCAGTGGCCTCTGTTGCTCAAGGTATGTGCCATGTGCATCAGGTGAATAGCTTTTGGAGTGTTCACAACTGCTGAACTTAGAGTGCTTTCTGTTAACATCTTTGATTTTAACAGTCTAAAGCACCATTCCTTAAGGTATTTAAAGTGAAAGATCATGTTATTCAGTGTTCCCAACACATTTATAGAACACAGTGTATTAACTGCCACTACAGTAATAAGTTGCTGTCAACATTTGTAAGCAGCATGGTGTCTGATTTGAAGATGAAATGCATCTTGTCAATTTGTACCAGTTTGGGAATCACACTTGAAGTAGGAATGCTGTGCTGTTTAAGAGCTTCAAAGCTTGGCTTGGGGATTTAGCTCAGCAGTTCAGGTGCTTGCCTGGTAAGCATGAGGTCATGAGTTGATCCAAGGTACAAAAAAAAGAAGAAGAAGAGGAAAAAAACACAAAACCTTCACAGCTGAACCGTTTGGGTCAGGTTGTATGTGTGACCTTGGACCATTCATTTACCTTTTTGAGGCTGTTAGCACAAATCTTAGATGTATTGAAGGTTACAGAACATGATTAGCCCCAGTTCCTGGCATGTAGTGTATCTTAAATTACTAGCTTTTGCTAGGGGGCTTAAATGAGATATTTGAGTAATGGGTTGGATTATGCTATTTTTGTAATTTTTACAGTTAAAGTAGATACCAGCAATGAGAGTTGGAGAATCAGTTACAGGCACTCCTTGACAAAGTTTACTAAACCATTGCATATGGTTTGATCAAAGGATGAGGTTTGCTTATAATATTTAATAAGAGTTTGAGTTTCTGCTTGGCTAGATACCACTGTCCTATAGGCACTGCCTGCTTTTCTGTTGTTGACTCTGAAAATGTTCTAGTAAAGAGGGTAGGCAAGGTCCCTACTGGAGGCAAAATAACATGGGGCATGGGAAGTGGACAGTTAAAACACTACTGTTTGTAGTAAGTAACATAATGAAGCCAAACTGGTGGCCAAGTGTACATTGGTGGAACGGGTAAGCATGGCCACCTCCTAGTTGGTGGCCAGGCCTCAGAGAGGGGACTAAAAAGGCGCAGCTGTATGGAGTAGAGATAGGGGCATCTGGAGCAGATCCAAGCTGGCTGTGTTAAGACATGCTGCCAGTCATTCTCAGTTTGGCTGTCTTGTCTCTGAGAAAATCAGAGCCATTTCTTTTTTTTAACTTTGTAACCCTGCATGTTGAAACCCAATCTGTTCTGTAGTACCCCAGCAAGTCGCTTTCTAGAGCAGTGAGTTAAGCTAACAAGTGATTGTCTTATTTTTACTAATATTGGGGATTTCCCCAGTATCTCAGGATGTTTAACAGGTAACCCAGGAGCAGAAATCTAGATTTATGAATTTTGAAAAGGGTTATCCCATTATGGTTGACAGGGGTGCTGCTGTTTTATGTGTGTCTGTGCTGTAGTACTCAGTTTTAATTGGATTGCATCATTGCTTTCTAGAACTTTGATAAGCTGAATGTAAGGACAACACACTATACACCTCTTCCTTGTGGTTCTAACCCTCTGAAGAGGGAGATCGGGGACTATATCAGGTAAGTTTTACCCGGAGCAAGCACCATTCACACTTTTTGTTCTTTTGAAAATGATGCTTTCGCGTCACATCAGTTGTTCGAGGAGGTTGTGGCATCTTAGAATGGCTTTGCCCTGAACATATAACTGACATCTGTGGTGAACTTCTGTTTAACTCTTCAAGTTTGTTTTTTATGTGTTTTAGAACATGAGAGCAGGTAGTACATGAACAGTTTTTCCGTTCTAGGACAGGCTTCATCAATCTTGACAAGCCTTCTAACCCCTCTTCTCATGAGGTGGTAGCCTGGATCCGACGAATACTCCGTGTGGAGAAGACAGGGCACAGTGGCACACTGGATCCCAAGGTGACTGGCTGTTTAATCGTTTGCATAGAACGAGCCACTCGCTTGGTGAAATCACAGCAGAGTGCAGGTATGTGAAACAGGGGTGAGGGGCTGGCTGCCTGGAGTTGGGGAGGCATGGGTACACAGAGCCTACTGCTCCGTTGTTAGTAACACGGGGTAGGATTCTGTCCAGCACTAGGCTTTTTGCTCTGTGCTCCACTTGTGCTTCTATCTAAAGTGTCCTTGTGAAGCATTTTCCAGGCTGGCTCTACAGTGGGTGCTGTCCCTGTCTGGCAGCACACCGAACCTTGAACTCTAGGTGAGAGAAAGTGTCTTCGACATTTCTCTTTCGTATCAGCACTGTGAATGTGGCTTAATAAAAATTTTACAGAAACATGAAGGTCAAATTGGCCTGCTTTCTTTGTTGTGCAAAGTGGCATGAATGAACTTACTAAAAAAATAGAGAAAATTCAGTGGCCACACCTGACTACTCTTGTCATTTTTCAGGCAAAGAGTATGTGGGAATTGTCCGGCTGCACAATGCTATTGAAGGGGGGACCCAGCTTTCTAGGGTAAGTGTGTGAATGTAGAGAGGGTCTCTTTGGCCCCTAAACATCTGCAGCCAGACCTACTTTCCCAGCAAGCCTCTCATTCTCCTTCAGTGGACTGCTTATCTGGCCTGGACACTGTTCCACTGGGTCTTTTCCGAGGAGAAGGTTTTGGTTAGCATCGAGGGGGCATTTTAGATCTTAAGTAACTGAAAGAAACCTGGGTTTCATCTGTGTACATAGACTCCCAAAGCGTGCCCTGTAAGAGCACCCGTGGTGTGAGTGCTTTGCTCTGCTCTTCTCAGGCCCTGGAAACTCTGACGGGTGCCTTGTTCCAGCGGCCCCCACTCATTGCTGCAGTGAAGAGGCAGCTCCGAGTGAGGACGATCTATGAGAGCAAAATGATTGAATACGACCCTGAGAGAAGACTAGGTAAGTCATTAAGCCTGTAAGGAGCTGGAGGCCATAGACCACAAGCCGGAGGGCCACTCCTGAGCCTCCTGTTCTGTGGTTAAGAATAGACGTGGCCTATGTCCATCATCTCAGTCTTCATGGCTCAAGTAAAGAATCCCATTCTTCAGCCAGGGATGTGTGTACTCTGGAAACCAGGTGCCGCTTACTTTTTATGTGCACGTTTGTGTCTCAGGGATCTTTTGGGTGAGTTGTGAGGCTGGCACCTACATTCGGACGCTTTGTGTACATCTTGGTTTGTTGCTGGGAGTTGGCGGTCAGATGCAGGAACTTCGGAGGGTTCGTTCTGGAGTCATGAGTGAAAAGGTATGCCATTATGGGGCTAGAGGTTTTCATATATACCAACCCTTGGTGGGATTCCATCTGCTGCACATCCCGTGACAGGTAGTTTCCAAAGTGTTGAGTTCAGTTCAGGGCAACTTCCCTGGTCTGATAATTAAACTTTGGGACATTGAAATGGGCTGTGGGTGACAACTGGATAAAAAGTACTCCAAGTTCATCTCTGAGCATACGGAATTGCCGGATTAGGTTGGATGTAGCAACAACTAAGGATAGAAGAGAGGCAGCTTGTCCTAGCAGACGAGTTATAGGTCTGTTGGGTATTTGAGCTCTGAAGACCCTGAATTCTTTTTATATGTGGCTGTTTTTCAGGACCACATGGTGACAATGCATGATGTACTTGATGCTCAGTGGCTGTATGACAATCACAAGGATGAGAGTTACTTGCGACGAGTTGTTTACCCTTTGGAAAAACTGTTGACATCTCATAAACGGCTGGTTATGAAAGATAGCGCAGTAAGTCTAGGTCAAGAGTCTGTTCAGATAGGATCCCAGTCCAAAAATAAGATACGGTCCGTGTTCTGAAAGCTGAATTCCTTTTAAATGAAACTGGAAGTGCAAACTTTTTATGTATCATCTTCTTTGGGGATACTTCATAAACATTTTTGACTCCTATTTGCATCTGGTGAATGGTAGATTCTCTTTGTTAATGAAAATATGACTAAAATTTATTACTCTAAAGTAAAAACTTAATTCCAGGCCTACTTTTATTTTTAAATAAGGCAAATTACTAACTTTAGTTCTTAAATGACTTGGTTCGAATAATAGACTTATTAGTGGCACATAAAAACTTCCCTTTTAGGGAAAACATTTCAAAGATATAACAGTTGTTCTACAGGAATTTTGAAAAAGTTGCATTCTGTTCAAGTAATTTGTAGCTTGAAACAATACAGTCTAAATTTAAAACTGAGCCTAGCAAGCCTTTTTCTTAGCATATATGCTACATCGCTTTATCAATAAGAACAGTCCTGTTAATAAATGCAAGTAGCTAGGGCATGGTAGTACATGCTGTAATTCCAACATTAGGGAGGCTTGTAGTGACTGGCTGCAGCTGTAGATGTTCCCTGGGGGAAGGAAGGCTGGAGGATGAGAAGATAAAGAAGAGACAAAGCAGGGGTCAGGTGGAGCCCTTAGCCTCCTGATGGGAGAGAAGGGGACTACTCAACCACTGTAGCACGTTTATACACTTAGAAGGATGATGTCAATTTTGTTTTTAACTCTGCTAAGAAAAATATTTAGCTCTGTGCCCAGCAACTTGTTTGCCTGGCTGGCCTGGGCCCCTTGCCTTCTTGGAGCTGGAACAGCTTGTTTACCTGGCTTGTTTTGGGCTCGGTGTTTTCAGGGCTGGACTTGTTAAAACAAGGCCTACACTTGTGATCAAATCTTCAGCTTCTGTGGCTCCCTACAGAGGCTGGGGGAGGAGGATCACCTCATTTGAGGCCAGCCTAGGCTTCATGGTAAGCTTAAGACTGAGCTGAATTACGTGGTGAGATGCTGTGTCAAAATAAATAAATAATACAAGTAAATACTGTACTTCTTCTAATTTTTGAGTTTTTATAGTACTAAAGTGGTTTAAGGGTACGTTTTCTTGTTCCAAATAGCCCCAAAAATTTTAAGTAGCCCTGTTATTCCTAATTGTAGTGTGATCAGAGAATGAGGCCTTTGATAAATTAAATTGTTTTTGTGGCCCAGTGCATAATAGTTTTTAAGTACTATGTGACTAGAAAATTTTTTCTAACTTGAGCATGTGGGTGGGGTGCAGCTTAGTGGTAGAGTACTTACCTAATGTGTGTGAAGCCTTGATTCTGTCCCCAGTACTGCAGATAATATATTTTTGTTTTTGGTTTTTTTTTTGAGGCAGGGTTTCTTTCTAGTCCAGACTGACCTTGAACTCAAAGCAGTCCTCTCATCTCAGCCTCCCAAGTGTGGGATTACAGGCTGGCACCACCATGCTGGACTAATAATAATTTGAGACTGATAATTCATATTCAAATCTTAAGTTATATAGAGGTATTTGGTGCATTTTATAAGTTCTAGTCCATAATAAATTAGAGAGGCATACTAAAACCCAGTACTAAAAAGATTGGAAAAACTTAATTTCATAAAGAGTAAACAGTATACTTGGGATGTGCCCACCGTGTGCTGGCATCAGACTGTCAGCTTGATAAACTTGAGGAATATAGTCAGCAAAGAAAACAAGATGACGTGAGACACATGGAAGTATTGTTATCAGACTCACAGAGATGCCTAGCTAAAGTATCATGAAATAATAGAAGTAACCCTTTACAGTTGTCTTGGACGTTTTGGGCAGTGAGTAGTGCACACTCTGTTCGATACTGTCCTATGTCTTAATGGGCTGTTGATACCATTAGCCTCATTTCCCACTGGGCCAGCTCCTTGTCAACTGGCCCTGCTGTGGTGTGGGAATATGCCAGAGGGCAGCAGCTGGAGGCTTCACTAACTACGCCCTCGTCCCTGCAGGTCAATGCCATCTGCTATGGGGCCAAGATCATGCTTCCGGGTGTTCTCCGCTACGAGGATGGCATTGAGGTCAACCAGGAGATTGTGGTCATCACCACCAAGGGGGAAGCAATTTGCATGGGTAAGCGGGGATGTTGCCCTTGTTTCCTAAGAGCTGTTTTGTTTAGTTGATCTCATCAGTTTCGGTGTCTTGCATGCTATGGTGTGGTGTGACGTGTCAGGTGTTCACAGGGAAGGGGAGGCGAGCAGGGTTCACTTTTACATTCATGTAGGGCCTTGGATCTTCAGGTCAAGAACAATCATGTTTAGTTGTCTACTCTCATGTAGCTTGTGATTAGTAGCAGTTTTCTCATTTGTGAAAGTTTAGCTACAATTGGATTGTCCTTATAACTTTTGATACTGTATGGCTCAGTAATCCTAATTTGAAGCGGAAGTGCAGCATGTCAACAGGATTCCTTAAAAGTTGAGCACTATTTCAGAAAACTGCCTCCTCAAAGTAGATAATCTCCGTGGCACATCCTGAACAAAGAACACTACAATTAAATAAAATAGAGTCTGGGGCTTTCAGTGGGCTTTAAAAAAGGCATGAAATGGTAGGAGGAGGGCTTATCAATCATCAAATGTTTTCCCTTCCCATCATTTTCCCTTTCCCATGTCTGCAGCTATTGCGTTAATGACCACAGCAGTGATCTCTACCTGCGATCATGGTATAGTGGCCAAGATCAAAAGAGTGATTATGGAGAGGGACACTTACCCTCGGAAGTGGGGCTTGGGGCCAAAGGTGAGTGGGAGTGGGCTGTGAGGCTCCGCCCTCCACAGCTCTGGAGTGTACTCCCCGCTGAAGGGGTCTGGATTGTTGGTTGCTGATAGGGAGAGCAGACTCAGGCCCCACCCTGGGTCTCGGAGATTCTGTCTTAGTGGAGGAACGGTTTGGTGTTCCTTAGTCACACAGTGGGGTGGTGAGTTTCTGGGCCAGGACAGGGGCTCTGAGGAGCTCAGAGAGGCACCAGGCAACTGGGGAGCCCACAGTAGGGAGTGGGGCCTGCTCCTTGGTGTGGGCAGGGTCTTCTCTTAAGCAGGTGTGGAGGCTGGCTGAAGTGAAGAGGGAAGAGAGATCAGGGAAGTTCTGTGGAGGAGCTCTAGTCCCTGCTGAGCATACTCAAAGGAAAAAGACTTAGCTGCACTGTGTACTGGTGGGGCCTGTGTGAGCCATGGTGTGCAGTTAGTTTCCATCTCTTCCACTCTAATGGCGAAGCCCTGATGTTCCTCTAGGCAAGTCAGAAGAAGATGATGATCAAACAGGGCCTTCTAGACAAGCACGGCAAACCCACCGACAGCACCCCTGCCGCTTGGAAGCAGGAATATATCGACTACAGGTGAGAGGAGTCATCTGGGGTTGGGAGGTTGCAGAGCCTGGGGGTGGGGAGGGTGACTGAGCAGAACTGCCTTGTGACACCTTGACTGCCCAGGCCAGGCCTGGGAGCTCTGGAGGGAGCTGATCTGGGCACTTCTGTCCAGTGTCAGCATTTCCCTGCTGAGCGAATATAACTGCATGATGGAGGCTACAGCAGAGCCACTGGCTGAAGCTGTTCAGTGGATCTGACCTATTACTGCCTGTCTTTTCTTAGTGATTCCAGCAAGAAAGAAACAGTTGCTGAAGCAGTAAAAATGCCACACTTAGTTGCTGAAGTGGCAAAATCCCCGCAGGTAGTTGCTGAGGCAGTCAAAATCACAAAGGTGAGTGGCTTGCCGTGATCCTTTGGAATGGGCGGCATCAGGCTTATCTTGGTGCTGCAGTCTAGCACAGTGCTGTTCAGGACAGTTGGCTTCTTGCCCACACCTCACTGGGCTGTGCACACAGACGTCTTGGATTGTGGGCTATTGGACTGAGCTCTCATGATCCTGTCATGTTGGCTCCCACCTTGGCTGTGGCAGTGACCCCAGGCTAGCGCGGGTGGCACATGTTATTTCCAGCTCCACCTTGGGTTGGGTGTACCATGGATCTTTACATAATGGGGTATAGAGTTGCCAGAGACCAGCATTTCTAGTCAGCATCAGTGCCTTTAGGGTCAGAGCAAAGCATGTCGTGGCAGTGTAGTCCTCCAGGGTTGGGGTCTACTGACTGGAGCCCAGAATAGTGTGTACTGAGCGCCCTGAGCTGTGTAGGTGGAGCTTCTGACTTGGGAGGTGTGAACTCCAGCTCTGCCTGGCCAGTGTGGTGGGTACTTGAGGGAACATTCCTATGTCCTGATCAGAGGAGTTTTCAGGGAAACAACTGTTGGGTTCATTTGGGGTATTTGGTGACTTCTGCTTTGTGACTTACTGAACTTGGCTTGTCTGTTACTGCCCAAAGTGTAACTTTGGTCAATTGTTTTTCAACACAGCGTAAGCGAGAGAGTGAGAGTGAAAGTGATGAGACCCCTGCAGCAGCCCCCAAATTGTCCAAGAAGGAAAAAAAGAAGAAGAATAAGGACAAGAAGGCCAAAGCCACACCAGAGAGTGGGGGCGAGCCTGGAGATGGGGTATGGATGAGCATGGGCAGCCTCAGTCCTTGGCTGGGAAGAAGCTTATGTTCTGGAATGGCTTTGTTTGCCCCTGAGGGATGGACAGACAGGGGTGCCTGGTACTTGAGAGAGGTGGCTTACAGTATGACATGTGTGTGGCGTGCTTTGATCACCAGTAGGATGTCGCTCTCCCTTCTCTCTAGGACAGTGACACCACCAAAAAGAAGAAGAAAAAGAAAGCAAAAGTGGTAGAGGTGGCGTCTGAGTAGCGAAGGCTACCTTGAGCAGTTGTGTCCAGGCAGCAGGAGAAACGGAAGCCTTACTGAGAAAACGTGAGCGAGTGGAGCAAGGATGCTGGACAGGGTGAAGAATCCCCGGCACACTTAGCTGCTCTTTGGGACGACCAAGGTGGTGTGGCCTGCGTGCTCATCATTCCATCTTGTCCTGTTTTAAGGATCTGGGTGATGAAGGAGGCACATTTTATGCCACTGACTTGGGAAGCTTCGCCTTTGGACCTCTTACCACCCAGTAACTGTGCAGCCGTTTACTAATGGTCGTTTTTAACAATATTGTAGCCCTCCTAGCGTGCTTTTTTCTTACCCTCTGTTTCAAAGGTTTGTAAAAATTATTCAGTGAGTTGGTGTAGAACTATCACTAAGTGAAAGAATAGAGCGGACGTTCTTTGAGGACAGCAGTCTGTTCTGGTGGCGGGATGGTGTCCCTTTGTTTCTGGACAGTTGTTGGTCCTGTGTGTACTTCTCCAAAGCTCTAGCGTACAGCAGTGTTCACCCAAATCCACCTGGCTCCTATGTTTGTGGTGGAAAGCAAGCTGTTCTGTTTTAACCCTCATTTATCGTTGAGGAATGAATTTGTTCATTGCTAAGAGAAGAATGTTGTGATTTTTACATATTAAAGTTGATTTCTGACGTTTTTAAAGTATTCCTGTTGGGTTTTATAATTTTAAAGGATTTCAAACTGGCATAGCAAAGTATATAAAATTATTTTGATTAAAAATATGGGAACTTTCTGTCTTATTTGAAGTTTGGTTTGCCTTTATTTGGCTAGTTTTACATTTCCTTGATTCTGTTTTTCAATGCTCACCTGGGCTGAAGTCCAAGAACAGGGGTGTGCCACGTGGGAGGCATGGCGGCAAGAGCAGGGGTGCACACATCTGGCACATGTGGGTTCTGACTTGGCAGGAACCTGCTCAGGTTGCCAGTTGGGGTCCTGAGGGCAGGTGAGTGGGGAGGAGGAGGCTGGAGTCCTGTCTGTGCAAGTCTTGGTAGAGAGGCTACCCTGACAAAACTCGGTCCAGCCTCGGCTTCCTTGGGCTGGCTGCTGGGCTCTGAGCAGAAGCTCAAAACGTGGCCTGCAGTAGCCCTCCTACCAGGTGAGATGTGCAGTGGAATCATCAGGGGCTTCTCACACTGCTGTGAATGATCTCAGCTACCTCTGGACCCAAGAAAGGCATCTGGCATTGATGGCACTGCTCAGTTTAAATGAAGCAGGCAGCAAGCACTTCCCTTTCTAGAGGTGTGGTGCAGATGAAATCAGAGTCACAAGGTCCTTAGTGTTTTCACAGCCACATCTTTATTGCTTTGAGGGTTTCCCTAGAGCATGTAACTTGCACAGCTGTTTCATCTGGCATTTTAGAAACTCACAAATGAACAATGAAAAGAATGGAAAGATACCCGGTGCAGTTGAAGGTGGAGAAGCTCGGCTTCAGGGCGACAGGACTTACTGCTTTTTTGTGCATCTCTGATTAGCAGTTGCATTTTGGTAGTACCTTGCCCCAACTTCCAGACATCTTTTTGAGATCTAGATCAGTAGGGCCCATCAGGAAAGCCAAACCCAGCCCTTCAGCAGCCTGAGTAAGATCCTGGTGGCCTATTGGGGACAACTGCAGAGAGCTGGAAGCTGACAGAACTAGTTGAAGCAGCCCTTTTTTCTTAAAGCAAGAGGAATGGAGTTCAAATGCAGAGAGCGAGCTTAATAGACCCAGGAGATGGGCACCCACTGTGGAGAGCTGCATGCCTGCTCGAAGGCTTCCTGCAGTTTCTGAAGGGTTTCTTCAACACCATTGTTGACCAGGGAAAGGTCAAAGTAGTGAGCGTACTGACTGCGGATGGCCTCAGAGTCCTTCTGCAGCTGCTGCAGAGCTTCTGTCTGCAACAAGAAGAGAAGAACCATGGTATAGCGTGCCCAGCCCAGAGGCCAAGGCTGGGTTTTAAATGGGAGACTAGTTGCTGTTAGCACTACCTGACTCCCATCACTACTTTTTGCTGTACTGTGCGTTGAACCAGGGCCATCATAACACACTGGGCAGTGCTCGACACTCAACTATGCCCACCTGCCTCATCACCTGCCTAGGGGGCCCAAGATCTAAAGACCCTGGATACTTGGGAGGTGGTCAGTTAGGAACACTTGCGAATCTCAGAATCAATACCCAGCAGACTAATGGTAATGGAGTCTCCTGCTGGGGACAGCTCAGTGGTGCGGTGCCTGCCTGGCAAATGTACCATAAATAAACAAACACTCGAGTCTCCTGGGAGACTAGTGGCTAGCCACATGGTCTTTACCAGCCATTCCACAGCCATGAGAGGTGCAACTCTGAACTGCTCACCAGTCACTCAGCTAAAAAACTGCCTACTAGTAAAAGACATGCCAAAATGGGCATAATATTTGCAACACATCACAAAGGACCAATTACCCTAATAAATAATTTCTAGAAACGGGGAAGAACAAGGCTAGTAATCCAATGGGAAAATGAACCAAAGATATGGCCAGGTAATTTATATAAAAGACAATACAAATGGCTGTTAATGGCATCAAAAGCTAGTTTCTTACAGTAAAAGATAAAGCATGAATGCCATTTTCCCACTATTAGACTGTCACAAAATGAAAAATGTAACAAACATGTTATGGGACAAAATCAAGCAGATACTTACAGGCCTCCTGTCCCCAAGCCACCCTGCAGGGGGGTCTAGTGCTGCCACTGTCCCCTGGAGCTCCCTCTGGCACACCCACCTGAGCCCATAGCCAGGGCACAGCAGGACCTGCTCAGCTGTCCACCTCTTCTGGTAGGACCCAGCCATACCCGTCAAGAACAGAGCCAGTCCTGGAGGGCTATTTGTTTTGTTCCTGTGTGTCTTTTGTCTCCCTGACCTCAGAGGAGGTGCAGCTGGCATCCTACGGGCAACCCTGGCCTGGGAAACCTCACCACCCTGCATGGCCATGCCCTTACCTGGGCACCCTGGTCTGTAGGTGCAATGAACACGATGAAAGGTGATAGTTCTGCTGTCCGAACAATCTTCAGCGTCTAGTAGAGGAAAGGGAAAGAAAAAAGCACAGGTGTCAAAATACATTGTTTCCCAATAAGGAGCTTTGGGCTTTATCAAACCTGGAAATTTCCAGCCCAACACCTCTTGTGCCAGGCTCACCCCACTAAACATAGGAAGCAAGCCCAAGCTCCCACAAGATTCCCAAGAGCTTGCTTCGCATTCCACTCTGTGCCCCACATGGCCAGACCAGCACTCCTGCCTTCCCGAGCCTCTGCACCTGGGGCTCGATGTCAAGGATAGCAATCTTGTCCTGCTTATGAATCTGGTGCACAGTTTCAAATTTGGTCCCAAACATGTTGCCTTGGTAGCTGCCAAACTCCAAGAACTCATTGGCAGAGATGTTCCTTGTCATCTCCTCCGTTGAGATGAAGTGGTACTCTTTTCCATCCTCCTCACTCTTCCTGGGTGGCCGTGTTGTGTCTGTGGAGAGGGACACCAATTCCCGATGAGCTCAGGTCCTCACCATCTCTTAATGCCTTGGCCCATGTTGTCTGTATGGAGCTGAGAGTATGACAGGGAGTGTCCTACTATGGGCTTCTTAGGGGTGATGCCAGATGGCAGTGAAGACTAAGAAACCCATCTGCCTGGCACATAATTTTCAAGAAGCAAAGCCCAATGTGAGAAATCTGTATCATTTTCCCTACATAAAGTTACATTTTTCCAACCACAAAACCCAGGAATACTGAAGCTCAAAAATGAAGAAATGACAGCCAAAAATATTTTTAAGAGATCTCTGAGCCGGGCACGGTGACACACGCCTGTCACCTCAGCACTCTGGAGGCTGAGGCAAGAGGATGGCAGGGAGTTCAAAGTCAGCATGGGCTACATAGTGTGATCCTGTCTCAGTCCCCACCCAAAAATAAAAGCAGAAGGGAGTCCATATATATATATATATATATATATATATATATATATATATATTCATTCTGCCTTTAACATGCTAGGCAAGGACTCTACCACTGAGTTACATCCCTGGCCTTCTCATTTCTCATTTTGAACAGGGTCTTAAATTGCTCAAGCTGGCATCAAACTTGGGACCCTCCTGCTTCAGCTTTCTGAGTAGCTGGGATTACAGGTATGTGCCACCATATCCAGCTAATGAATTTTAATTCTTAATAATTTTTAAAAAGAGTAAAAAATGTTTACTACAGCTTCTGTTACCGGTATATAGAAGAGAACAACACAAGTTATCTTGTTGAGGCTATGGTGGGTATAAACTTTTCTTTCCAAATTTTTAGTTTTATAATCAAACATTTAAAAGTAAAACTACAACAAAAGACCACATGGTGTCTCAGGCAGAGAGTGGACAGCTACCTGACACATGGATGATCCATCCCTCAGGCTCCCTGTCACCCTGCAAAGTGCAAGAGCTACTTACATGGGGCTGGATACACAAACTTTTCCGGGTTCTGGCTGAGCAGAGCGTTCTTAATGTGGCTTCGACCCACCCCGCTGGCTCCTGCGTGGGAGAAAAGGAAGCTTCCTCACTGAGTCTAAGATAAAGGTGGGGACAGAAGTGGGGATGGGACAGCTGAAAACAGGCTCGGTTCAGGGCTCTTGAATTGGGGATGACCAAGTTGGTTCCTGCCCTCTTTTATGCATCTGTGGGGGAGGAGGCTTTTTCTGAGGGCTAAGGGTCAGGATGCAGCATGAAACTGTCATTTCCATAAAAGAACTAGCTACCATGGGTTTTTCTGTTTATTTTGTAAGCATATTCATTTTTCTGAGTTTCCAAAGTTAATAGAATGAAATTTAAGTCAATGTTTCTGATGGGAACTTCCCTCAAACTATAACAGATCCTCTAACCAACCAGTGTTTTGGCTGCAAGGATGGGAAGTTAAGCCACTCACAGGGCCAAGGCTCCACACTTGGAAGCAAGGACTCATTCTACTTCAGGTCACAGTCTTTTGAGGGCACAGGGAAAGCTACACAGCTCAGAGGACTTTTGAGGGTCCTTGCTAGGCTAGCGAAGCTGTAAGTTTATGTAAACCGAAAGCCTATCACTGGCACGCCCTCCTGCCAGCCACAGGGACAAAGGGGTTTAGGACCAAACACAGCCAAATAGCAGACAACCCATAAGGTTTGGTTGCATGTGTGAGGCGGACCCTGGTGGAAAGCAGGGACAGAGATGTATTCTGGAATTAGCAAAACAGCACGTGGACAGTGAGAAGATACCGATCAGCACCAAGGTCTTCCTCTTGAATGCAGGGAGCCGAACGACTTCTTCATAGGAAACAACATCCAATTGGTCAAAAACTAGAGGTAGGGAAAATGGAGCAACATTCATTTCCACAGCCTGGGTGGGAGGAGCTGGCCAGGGTTAAGGAACTGACACCCAGCCAAACAGGGAGGGTGATGTCAGAGCTAAGGCTGGGAGGCAGCGGGGAGCTTCGGATTGCATTTGTTTTCATCTTAAAGTGACAAGTGAGTTTTGAGCAAGGGACTGATGTCCTCCCATTTAGATTCTGAAAGGCTAACCCTTGGCTGCTGGGCACAAGATCAAGCCCAGGGGCTGGGATGAAGGCAGTAGGAGCTCAACCGTGCCTAACCCTATGACTTACTGTTTACATCGTGGGGAATCGGAACTGAATGTAACCTTACTGGGGACTGAAGATGGCTATGTCTAATCGGATCTGTTAGGCGGTTGTCTGGGGCAAACAGGTGCGATACTGATAAGAATTAGGAAGAACAGGATGTCAGGGTAAACTAAGTCTGTTTGAGTAAACTGAAACAGTGGTACATTCCCTTGTGCCTTGATCTGGTTTCCTCAGCAACCTCCATGTGAACCCCTAATGCAACTGTCAGCCAGCTCTTTGGACTCTGATTTGTCCAGATGTTTTAGACTTTCTGTTCTCTCTCAGCTGACTTTTTTGGTCTGCTGTACTTCTCCCTTCTCCCTAGTTTCAGTAACCTGGTAACTTCTGTTTCCAACCTAGATGCTCCCTTGGATTCAGCTCCCCTGGGAGTGTGGCTTGGCCATCTCACAGGCACTTAGAGCTCAGTAATGCCAACAGTGTCCACGCAACCTCACCTCATCTCCCAGGCCCTGGCTACTCTGTGTAGAGCTCTGACATGTCCGGAAACTTGGGCTTTTATGATCTGCTCGTGATCATCTCTCTGTTCAGAATGCTCCCAACAAAGTGGAAACGTTTAATGAACAGTAGCTGAATGGTAGACTACTGTTCACTTGTTACTAGCCACCTGCTTAAACCTACTTACAATTCTTTACAATTAGCCCTCCATATCCATGAGTTGTGCATCCACAGACTCAATCAACAATGGATTAAAAGTATTTGAATACATACATATGTTTTGTTCTTGTAATTCTTCCCTAAGCAATCTGGTTCAACAACAACTTACATGGTATTTACAGCACTTTAAATAAAGGACTTCAAAATCCAAGGGTTTGGGTGTACACAGGGATGCCTGAACTAATCCCTATAGATACTGAGAGATCACTGCCATGATTTCAGCTATAGGAGGTTAAAAAAAAACAAGCCAGAATTAGTTCTCAAGAGCAGGGCTCCTCTCTGCAGCTGCCCAGGGCTTGCAGCCAGGTGATGCTGAAGGTGCTGTCACTCCAAGGAAAGCATGGGCCACCCGAGCCTTGACTGCAGTGGTGAAGGAAACCAGAACACCCAGTGCTTTGGGAGAACATGTGCCCTGCCCCTCCACCTCTGTGTTGCTGTTTAAAGAGCGGGGAACCAGGCTGGAGCTGGGGAAGCGGGGTACTTGGTAAGCTTACTTGAGCTGTGCTTAGCCAGGTACTTGTCTTTGTACTTCTTTTTCTTCCCAAAGGGACTGCAGCTTGGAGCTTCACTCGGAGCAGACTGAGCCACGCTTGCCACTCGCCTGGCAGGAACAGATGGCCACAGGTTCTTACCGTCCCATAAGAGCACTAAATAACCCCCTTTCCTTTCTATGCTCAGATCCCAAGCTGACTGGCGCCCTTCACTCTGTACCAACCCAAACACGCACTTCGCATGGCACAGCGCTGGCTCCTGGGCTCACCCATCTCCACTCCCTCTTCCACTTGGAGCGCTTTTATGTGGGCATCCAAGCACCTGGCAGTGCAAGTTTTTCCAGGAGGAAATGAGCCCCGACCCTGTCCTGTCCTCAGTGCAGCCTGCACTCTGGCTGGGTACTTCCATCTTGGAGGTGAACCCAGGAGGCAGGGTCCTTGCCTTTGTTTGGGTACCCAAACCATGATCGGAATACACTGTCAACTGCAATCCTGTATTATAATGGATATATCTCAATATAGACATACACACATACAACTGGGACAACAGCATCAATGAAACAACACTTTCTATTACTAATATTTCTATTCAGTGTCATTTTTAAAAGAAATAGTTGTGGCAGTCCACCAAATTGATTTCCTGCCTCACTAATGAGCTGTAGCCCCACAGTTTCAATTCATATTTTCCCCGGTCTTTTCCAGCCATCTTATGCTCCTGATCTTTCAGGGTTCTTTGCAAGGTGTTAGCTCGGAAAATGACCTAGAGTTCATGGCCAATGCACTCAAGGCTTTGACAACATCTCGAAGGGTCTGCACTGGATTTTTTCTGTTGCTTTAAGGCTTAGTTTATTTCTACAAAGCACATCCTGTGGTTCAGTGCCATGTTTATAATTTCCCTTCCACTGTAACATCCCTAGAGATGAGATCAGCCAGAACTCTGGCTTCATATCCAGTAACTGACCCTCTCTCTGCCTCTGCAACATAAGCTCAGCATGCAGATCACAAGCTCAAGGGTGTTCTTTCATACACTAGCCTTTCACTATGGTGAGCAATCTGATGTGGGGACAGGAATTATTTCTTCTATGTGTCAGGGATCTGTACAAAAGACACTCGCTTAAAATGTGACCATTTCCTGCAGGAATCATGAGTCTTCCCAGAAACAGCACAGAGTGGGAAAGCAGGAGACCAGGGAGGGCTTTTTAAATGCAGAGGAGGCTTTTGAGTGAAGAATACAATGGCTATCAGTGAAGCTTCTCAGCTTGCTGCTGGCCCTCCTTCACCTGTTATGCCAGGGAAGCTGGGAGGCTGCCTGGGAGAGACAGTGACTACACGAAAGAAAACAGAGTCATATAGCTAAGTGATTATTTGGAGCAGGCATGTGCTCTTTGCATCTGCAGAGTCCATCTGCACACAGGCAGCTCACCATTCCTGCAGCTCAGGAGAAGGAATCAGTCCTGCGGACTCCTTACAGGAGCCTTCCACCCGCCCCTGCCACCAGTTGCTGTCGTCCTTATTGATGATCTGGATAATGTCCCCAGTAACAAATTTTAATCCTGCCTCCTTGCATGGGATCAGACTGTCCTTTTTGGGATCGTAGTCAAACTGTGCTCTCATGAACATCTGAAAAAGAAAGCAAAGGAAACTGCAGGCAGCAGTCTCAAGAGAATGACCACCCTCTAAGTGTGGACTGAGACATCCTGCTGCTCTGCATTCCTTCTTGGGGAAGAGAGTGCCAGGGGAGAAGGGGAGACAGGGTAGATGGGGTATGAAGCAATCACAAGTGCCTGGTGTCACATCTGCACAGGGTCAGAACTGATCCTCTGAGCAAGAAGGCAATGATATGCCTTCCTGATCTGGATATTTTCAGTTATTGGATCTGAGCTGTATGTCTCAGAGTACAGAGTGACAACTATCTAAAATGTATGTGATCTCTTGACCCGTTGAAATAAACTTGGTAGACAGTCTAAACAATATGGATGTGCCCTAAGTCCTCAAATGTTAATATTCCTACATTCCCCTTCTTTCATTTATCTGAGAAGTGTCAGCAGTGATAAGCCTGCCCATCACAGCACTGATCAAGCACTGCTTCTTAAAAGAGTGAAGTATCAGAAACAACCTAATTCACCAAGAGTTGGGAATTGGTTAAATATAGTCATATACTGAATATGTTACCATGAAACCATAAACTGTAATTTGTAGACTATTTAATGCCCTGGAAAATGCTGTTGCTATGATGTTAAATGAGAATGTCATTAAAAACAATACCTAGTATGTTCAAAATAAAAAACAAGTATTGACTTATGCGTAGAAAAAAGGAAGAAACCATACCAGAACTTAATACTGACTAGCTGTGATAGTGAGATTAGGGGGTCAAATCCAACCCAAAGAAAGAAAAAATAATGAAGAGTAGAAAGAAATAAAAAAGGAAATAGCACTAAGAAGATAAAGGCAAACTTGATTCTTTGGAAAGATTAATGATGTTAACAAAACAGAGAAGACAATTTACCAGTAGAATTAAGGGTCTTTTTTTTTTCCCCAGGAAAGAGAAGGTAAAGAATTAAGGGTCTTTAATTGCACTGCTGTGGCTGCCTCAGTGTCCTGAATTTATTCAAAATGTTGATCTTTCATGGTCATTTTGATTTTAAGGAAGAGCCAGAAGCGTACCATGTCCGATCTGGTGGCTAAGGTGGATGAGATGCACTGTAAGGGCTTTATGAGCCTGCCTTTCTGTTGGATGGCACTTTGGTTACATCTTATAAAGACATTCAGGAAAGAATTTCCAGAACTGCTTCAGAAAGTGGCATGAGTGAGAAGGTAAGTATGTTTAAAGTGAGGGATTTTGCAGGGGATTCATGTTAATGTGTGCCTTTCACAATAATACATTATTAAATTTAAACATTTGCTGTGTATTTTGCTCATACCTTATATATCCATCAAAAAAGAATTATGAAAATTCTATTTCATTGTTTCCTTCCGAGAGACAGAGACAGAGACAAGAAAGGGGAGGAAGAGAAGAGGGGAGCCAGTGGCTTTGCTGGTAAAGTTTTCAAACATTATTTGAAAGAAACAAAGGTGATCTCATACAAAATGAGACATTCTGAAATGATGGCATTTTCGCAGTTCATTTTATAAGTCTAGTATAACCAAGATACTGAAATGTGACAAGAATCTTGTAATCTTTCTCAGCAACAGAGATGTAAAAATCTAAAGCAAAACAACAGTAAATCAAATATAGCAATGTACAAGAAGCACAATCACAATCATGTAGGTTCTAGTTCAGCAACGCAAAGAAGAAAATCGTATGTTCTTCTCACTAGATGAAGAAAAAACTTGATAAAATTCAAAGTCCATTCCAGATTAAAATTCTTAGCCAATTAAAGAATAACTGCAAAAACCCTTACAATATACTATACAAAAATCAATTCCAGTGAGTTTTAGAAGTGAACACCTTGACATATGACCACCCCTAGGGCCACCCTCACACCACTGCCTGGCTGACCATCTGTGCCTAAGGGGAGTGAGCCCTTAGGCTCTTAGAGAGAACCAGCTTATGTCCAATGCGTCCCTGAGCCATGCAGCCACACACTTGTGAGATATTTACAGTTTAAAGGTAGAATCACATCACACAGAATCAAACCACAAAAAAAATAACACATAACGGAAAATGGTGCCACCTACCTGTAGTGCAGGGAGACGACTTTGCTGGTTGGGAATTACTTTTAAAGAGATCATTCCTTTGGTTTCTTTCTATTAAAAAAAAGAGAAGAAATAAAATTGTAAGGAAAACTATCTTAAACAATTTCAGGTTCTGTGATGTCATTTCCCCCATCAAAGTCCCAGGTTTTCCCTTCAGCAGCCATCTTTAGTCTATATTTGGAGATCCTACATTTTTGTAGGACAGTTAAGGAACTCTCCAAAAACCAGAGTAATGATATGAAAACACACAAAGAATAGTGAAGAAAAATCTAATGATTTCCTCCTACTACTCTTTGTTTTGAGACAGAGTCTATGTAGCCCAGGCTGGCCTCAATAATCCTCCTGCCTCAGTCTCCCAAGTACTGAGAGGACAGGCCTGCACCACTGCACTGGGCTGCCTTTTTCCACTGTTGACCCCCAAAAGGTACTCAGAAGTTCCTAAAAAGAGCCCTGTCACATAAAGTCTCACCTCTTGCAACAGACACCTTGAACATGTGTCTTACATATTACATTTTGATTTTTATAGAACTGAATCTCACTGTAGAAATGCAGAATCAAGTGGTAGGAACATTTTGAGTTTTAATAATTATCCTCTGATTATTTTTCTACAAAGATTATAACAATTCTATTCCTACTGGGAGCAGAGGAAGGCTCTTTTTCTCTAAATTTTTGTATGTATCAACATCTCTTTTTTATTTGTATTTTTTAAACAGTCTCATGATGCCTTGAACTTGCAATCTTCCTGACTCAGCCTCCTGACTGCTGGGATTACAGTCATGAGTCACTACTACCAGCAACATTCTTTGTAAATTTCTGTGAATCTGATAGTTGGTACGTATTCCATGGCTCTTTTATAATTTTGTTAAAGCTGAACATCCTCTCTCCTCTCTTCTATCTGTTTCAATTTGAGAAAGAAAAATTGCGTATTATTTGGCATGCTGGTATTGCTCTGAAATATGTGGACACTGTGAAAGGACTAAATAGAGCTAATTAACACATGCATTATGCCACATATTATCTCTTTTTGTGGTGAAGATGCTTAAAATCTACTCTCAGCAAATCTCTGGAATACAAATCATTGTTATTAAGTATAGTTTCCAGGTTGCACAGAAGATCTCTTGGGTTTCTTCTTCTCTATCTGGAATTTTGAATATTTTGACCAACATCTTCCTGTTACCCTGCTCGAAATCCAGTCTCTGGTAAGCAGCACCTTACTGTCTACTTCTACAAGTGAGACTTTTTAGATTGCAGATACAAATTAGTTCACATACTGTTTATCTTTCTGTGTTTGGCTTAGTTCACATAACATCCTCCTGGTTCATCTGCCTTATGGCAGACACAAGGAGTTTCTTCTTTTTGTAAGGCCGAGGAGTATTCCCCTACGTGCACACATTTCCTCTTTCTTGCACACTGATCCTATGTCCTCGCTACTGTAATGCTGCAGTGAGTGAATATCTTTTCAAAAGCTTACTGGCCATCTGTTTTTTCTTATTTTTTTCATCCATGTTTCTCTCTGGTTGCTTGTATTTTTATAATAAAGTTTAGAAACTTTCAAATTATTAATTTTTACTAGTGCACCATCTCTTTTAGCAAGGAGCTTATTTTCACGTGCTTAATGTTAGAAGCCCATCTGGGGGTCTATTCCATGACGTTGCTCCTGTATTACTCAGGATCTCGGCAAGAAATAGGTGGCACATGCCTGCAGTCCCAGGTACTCAGGAGGCTGAGGTAGGAGAATCCCAAATTCAAGGCCAATTTAGCCAGACCCTGTCTCAAAAATAAACAAATAAATAAACAGCTGGGTGTGATGGCTCACGCCTGTAATCCCAGCACTCTGGGAGGCTGAGGCAAGAGGATCACAGGTTCAAATCCAGTCTAGGCAGTGTAGTGACTCAGCAAGACTCTGCCTAAAAGTGAAAAATAAAAGAAAGGCTGCGGATGTAGCTTAGTCCAAACACCATAGGTTCAATCCCCAGAAGTGGGAAACAATCAAACCAACAAACTTCCAGGGATGTAGCTCTGTGTTAGGAGTGAACCTGGGTTCAATCCCTAGGACTATAGGGGGCAGGGAGTGCTGAAGAGGGTTTAGTGGAGGAACATGCACATATACTGGGCATTCTCAAGTGAGGGTGCATGAAAAGTATGCCGAGGGGCGAGGGTCCGGCTTTCACCAAACTGGTCTGCTGGAGAAGGAGTAGGAATAGAAACAGCCTGCTTTCTTTCCTCTCAGCACAATGTTCTCTCCAATACCTGACACGATGTTCTTGGTTATTTGCCTGGCTTCAGAGTTTCATCAAATGAAAATGGAAAAATATCATTCTTTATATAGAGTAATATCTGATATAACCACAGCCCCCCCAGCAAAGTATAAACACTCTGGTAGAGAAATGAGGTCTACTGATATTAAAGGGCATCAATACCTCATGAAAACATTCATCTAGCATAAAGAAAACCTACCATGGCCTTCTGCAGTTGATCTACTGAATGATTAGTCACATTTGTGCCATTGATTTCTAGGATCTCATCCCCCACGTGAAGGGAGCCTGCCAGGAAACAAACAAACAAAAAAAAATAGAGCATAAAGGAATAAAAGTTCAAGCTAGCTGTCAGTGTAACTCAAGATAGCAGAGGAGAGGAACCACGATCTAAATGTTATAAGCTAGACTGTGTGAAATACTCAGATTTAAAACATTTAACCACAAGAGATTAAATGTTTGTTTGAATCACTTGAAGTATCAAGGCAAGTACCCTGTCCTCAAATTCCTGACTCCAGGAAACTCAGACATGCCAACAAGGCAAGACAAAGCACAGGAGTAGTCTCATTCAGCAGCAAGTTCAATGTTCCTTTGCTATTATTTAGCTAAAACTCCAAAATGCTCCTAAATGGTAAAGATAATCAATGTTTGGATTCTATGTAGAGTGGCTACCAATATTTGTGTTATATTGGATATCAGAAAAACCATAACCATAAAAGGGTGAGAGTTAATAAGGTAGGAAAAACTCATATGAGTAGCCAAAACCCCAACATTAAGAAAAGTTCCATGCAATGCCCAAAGAATGGCATGAATCAGATGGCTAAGTACAGGCTACTATTGACTGCTAAAGCATGTCCTGTTCTAACACATTGTTCTGTTCTGTCATCACCCACTAAAACAGATTTTACTAAATGATGCACCTGAGAATTGATGATACTTTAACATTAAGGCAACACAACAATGTCTGTTTTCTCTGTATAAATTGCTAGCTCCAGCACACAACAGATGATCTGTTTCCTTCACTGCTGTGGACTCAAAGTCTAATGCAATGGGTGGCATGGAGCAATGCTTCAAATATTAATTCACTAGAAAAATATTAGCAGAAAATGGTGCAGTGATGGGTAAGTTGTATTAAATCTTATCATGAAATTTTCTAAGTAGCCACTTATTAAGATTCATATAAAAATGCTATCAGTTTTGAGTATTAGAATCGTCATGTCCCATGCCACTAACAGGCAGTAAATGATTAATTCCAGAATAAAACTCAATGCAGGATCCCTGAAGTGTACCTTGTCTATGGATCATACCACCGTGAAGAATCCGGGCCACAGTACAGGACTGTTTTTCATTCAGTTTCAGGGTGATTCCCTGAAAGAAAGGTAATGGCACGGTGAGCTGTACTTGAAGCTCTCTTTGAGGTTCTTTTTAAAAGAGCCTATGGCAGCTTCTCAGGAGAAACACTTCCGGTTTATACCTGGAATGGTCCTCAACCAGAGCAGGCAGGAAGCTTGCTCCGAGGAGCTGCAGTGGGGACTCAGACACAGTGGCCAAGTTGACTCTTGTGATCCAGAGACTTACATAAGGGAGGGGTATGTCATGGATGACAATATGAAATGGGATTACCATGGGCTCCTCTGTGATCTTCTCAAACTGTATGAGTCGCACTTTCCGCACCTCTTGCCCCTTGGCTTGGGCAGGGCTTCCTGGGGCAGCAGACCCGTTGGTGTACATGTCCTCGGTTACGGCGTTCAGCTGGCTGGACACAGCCTGCCGAGTTCAAACAAGAGAGCAGTGGGTAAAATAAACAGCAAAGGCTCATGATCAGCCCACACACAGCAACTCAAAAATGTTCAACATCACTGTAATCAGGGAGACAGAAATTAAATTAGAACCATCATACACCCACTAGAACGGCTAACACGAAAAAGACAGGTGATGCAAGCACAGAACTCTCATTTGCTGCTGGGAGAGGTGTTAAACGGCACAGCCACCATGGAAGGCAGCAAGGCAATTTCTTCTGTAAAGTTAAATACACACACCGGCCCAGCAATCCCACTCCTCAAGATTCATCCAAGATAAACATCTGTCCACACAGAAATTTATACATGAATGTACATAATGGCTTCACATTCTTTTTTTTTTTTTTGTCTTTTTCGTTTTTATTGGTACCAGGGATCAAACTCACGACCGCACACTTGCAAGGAAGGCGCTTATGCCACTGAGCTAAATCCCCAGCCCCAACACTAGCTGAACCCTGGACACAATGCAAGTGTTCTGGCACAGGAGAATGTATAAATCACCCATGATCCATCCATACAAAGATATACTATTTGGCAATGAAAAAGATCAAATGATCAATACACATGATTGATAAATCCCACAAAACTTATATGCAGTGAAAGACTTACAAAAAGAGAGTACCATATGCTATGACTTATATAAGACTTTTAGAATAAATGAAACTATTGTAAAAAATTGAAAAACAGAGGTTGCCTCTGATGGGATGTGGAAAGAATTACCTGGAAAGGCGCACAGGAGAACTTTCTGGGGTGCTAAGAATATTCTGTAGCATGATATGGGATTGAATTACACAGACTTATGCATCTGCTAACATTCATCTGATGGTACACTTTAGATTTGTGCATTTCGCAGCATATACATTTTACCTCAAAATAACCTATAAACAAATATTGAACTCTCTAGCCAATGATATACATGCTGAAGTTCTTAAAAATCTAATGTTATAATATCTGCAATTTATTTTGAAATGTCATCCCCACCCTGAAAAAAAAGCAAAAAGTGACAGAGTGTGGTAGTACACACCTGTAATTCCAGTGACTTGGGAGGTGGAGGCAGAAGGATCACACCAAATTTGAGGCCTGAAAATTTAGCAAGACACTGTCTCAAAATTTAAAAAATAAAAAAGGCTTTAGATGAGGCTCAGAACACTTGGCTAGCATGCATGAGGCCCTGGATCCAATGTCCTGTACCACAAAAAAGGATGATGGATGGGTGTTTTGGGACAAACACAGCAGAATGGCAACTATAGAACCTAAGAGTCATGACTACCTGGATTATAAAATTCTTTTATCTTCTCAGGAACTTTGACATTTTTCAAGCAAAACATTGGGGGAAATGAAATGAAGAGTAAGAAGGCAAGGCATGGAACAGGAACTGGAGCTCTCATACCTGCAGATGGAAGTGTAAACTGAGGAAATCGTGCAGATCTCAACCAGCAAGATGCCACTCCACTCCCTCATATGCCAAAAGAGGTGAACCAGCAGTGCCACTGTAGCATTCTTTTTATGTTATAAAATTAGAGTTTGGAACTGTTTTGCTTGACAGTTCAAACCCATAAATGCTTCTGTATGTTTTCAAAGAACAGAACATTCTCAAAACTGAGAACAACGCTGATATAATGCTATTAAATTTATTCAATATCATCAAGGGTCCCTATAATGGCCTTGGTAACAATAGTTTACCTCCCAAGCGAGGATCATGCAATTTTATCTCTTCACTCTTTCTTAATTTGGTAAAGTTCCTCAATCTTTCTTTGACTTCTGTGGCCTTGTACATGTTTCTCAAATTGGGTTTGTCTGCTGTTTTGCCATAATTAGGTTGGGATTATGCAATTTTGGCAGGAATCTCACATAGCAATGCTTTTCCTCAATGCCCAAAGCACCACATGTCTGAAATCCCACACAATCACGCTTTTCCTTGAAATACTCCTTAGTTTTTGTTGGTTACTGATCAACTAATGGTGATGGGACCCAGGACTTGAAGTGAGTACTGTCACAGTAAAAAAGGCCACATGGAATCCTCTGAATAAGCTCCCTACCAATCCCAGACAAAATATTAAATAAAAAAAGATATGTCTGCCTGGAGGAGAAGGAACAGGCCTGAGCAGTGTATGGAACAGTCAGTTTGGTATTTGGGCACAAGCTGAAAACTGATGTCCACTGCAGCTTGGCCACGCCCAGGGGTGATTGCAAGACAGTGAGGCGGGATAGTCTTCCCAGAAGGAAGGAAGATCTGTGAGGAGTGTACCTCATCACGCCCTTGGCAAAGAAGTGCTGGGTGGGAGTATCTGTTTCCAAGGGGTATGCAAAGACCCAGTTATGAGTCCAGAGAGAAGTGGACAAAAGATGGGAGAGGAGGAGGTCTGGGACACAGACACAAGTCTCATAAAACATTTCGATTCGAATTCACCACATCTTCCCTAGAAGTCAGCAGACCTTGAGGGGAGGTAGTGGGGTCTAAAGCAGTGCTCCTGACCCAGGGATCTGAGATGTGGGAAGTACTGAGAAACAGAAACTCCCTTGCCTAGCAACTAGAACTTCCCAAAACTCATATGACACTACATTAGATGACACTGCATTTTGAAAAAATTGCCTAAAATAAGGTCACAATTTGAAAACTAACATAGGATACCTGAAAGCTCAGAGCTTCACATAACTCCTAAGTACTCTACAGTAGAGGATTCGATGATTCAGTTAACACTGAATGCAGAAATACCATGTCACTGTGACAAGGAGTTTCTGAGGTCATCTTGAAGCCATATTGCTAAGTTGAAAAAAAAAACATGAGGACAAGTACACTAGCATCAGTTTAAACAGTGATAAAATGAATATATTTGTGTCTGAGACTGTCACTAGCAGGAAACATAAGACGTTGAGGTTGCTTCTAAGGGCATGAGTTGGGTAGGTCCATGACTGGGTGAGAAGGAAGTTGCTTCTGCAGTATCATCATACCTTTCAAATCATGTACTAGATACAGGCAATGCTTTAATGAAACAAATCATAAAACAGCACAGGTTAGCAATCTGAGGTGTGCCTCTTAATGGAAATATATACACTGAGTTGGCTCTTACGAATAGCTGGGTAACTGGGGCAAGAATCTTGACCTTCCTATGCTTTCATTTCCTCAACTAAGACAAGATCGGCAACAGAGTGACCATGTAGGGTTGCGATGAATGCGTGCTCAGCATAATGCCTAGAAGCACTCAGTCACTGAAGGCCTCAGCCAGGAAGATACTGCACACATCTGCCAATCCTGAATGATGCTGCTAAGGAAAATACTCAGTATTCAAAATTTCATGCGTCTCTTCACATTTAGGTCACAATGATTCATTTCTAACCAGGCAAATGAAAGCTTCTCATTTCTAAAAGCCCAACAAAAGACAACGCTTTCTATTCTGACAAATGAGATTTTCCTAAGTGACTGGGCTTCACATTCAAGGTAGCCACATAGGTCCTTATTTGGGCCTGGTCCTCCCTCAATCGCAACCCTTTTAAAGTTAGAGCAAAGGATGAGGACAGAAATCCACATACACCAAAGGAAAGCACAGTAAAGTCACTGCATGAACGCAGAAAGAGACGAAGGAATAAGCACTGATCCAGAAGAGCTGACAGCTCAAGCTCAGGATGTGCTTGAGGATGGTGCAGAGAACGGCACTACTGTGCAGAGTGCAGGCGTGGGCTCAGCTCTACTTTCTAGGCAGGGAAGAAGAGCCTGGCCATGGCACCCATTCCCAAACTCCCCATAGCCACTTCTTCCTGTGATGCTGGCCAGCACTGTGAGATGTGGCCACCTCAAGCTGTGCCTATGAAGCTCTTCATGTGAGAAGAGGAATTTAGGGTGAGCAATCAATTCTAAGACTATGAAAAACATTTACTGATTTTCACTCTTTTCTTTCTTTCTGGGGTTTTGTTTTTTGAGACAATGCCTTGTTATTAGTACAGGCTGGCATTGAACTCAAACTTTCAATGGTCTCCTGCCTCAACCTCCTGAATGCTAGGATGACAGGTGTGCATAATCACACTCGGCTAATTTTCACATTTTTGAATCATCCCATAGACAAATCCTGAAACAGTTATACATAAAGAACAGACTGCAAATGTCAGCACTGTGATGATATGAAGATGCACACATATGTGATGGAGACTAAGGTAACATGAAAAGAAATGAAAGAAGGGGCCACTACTCTTGGGAACAAGAAAGTTCTAGTAGCACTAGCGCTGGCTGGACAGGAACTCAAGGAATAAACACATACAGTTCCAAAAGTAACCAGCAAAGCAGAAACCAATGGCCCATAAATCTATTCTATTTATAACTGCTGCATCATGTTCTGTTTGAACCCTTACAAACTCTCATCTGTACCTTTGACTTACTTGTCCTTTAAGCTCAGACAGTTTGTACACCACTCCAAATATCAGCTAAAAAGTAGAGATAAGGATTTGATTTTTGTCTGGGTCTTGTGGCGCTGAGTGTAACGCCAGAACTCTGGGAAGCTCAGGCAGAAGGATCACAAGTTTCAGCACAGCCTGGGCAATTTAGCAAGACCCTGTATCAAAATTTTAAAAAAGTACTGGGGATGCAGCTCAGGGCACAGACCCTGGAGTCAATCCTCAGTACTGAAAGTGAACTGGATTTAATAGGTGACACTGTTACACACAGTCTCGGCACTGGTTTGATGGCAGGTTATCTGGACGAGCAGGGCTGTGTTCTATGAGGAATGGTGCTACTTGGGTTTCCTGTTTTTCTTCAGCGGAAAGAGAGACCTTTGCAGGCACTCGGAGATAAAGCACACTGGAAAAGATCATTAGACACTTGGCCTTTGGACTGATGGACGTGCTCTTGGATGGATTTAGTGCCTGGGAAACAAAGTGCCTCGTTAATGTATGATTTTAAGACAGTGCCTGCCAGAAAGTCCTGAGTCTCAGGCCTTCCTCTTGCCCCAGGTCCTATCAGTGTGTAAACAGTGTTGATTTTTTTCTAATTCCTAGGAGCACTCTTGGTCATGTTTATAGTTCTTGTGTTAGTCCCAAAGTGGGCACCTGTGTGCACCCAGCCCCAGGCACTGCATGACAAGGTTGCCTACCAGGTGTTGAGGGCCACTCTCGGGATCTGCCATCTGGAGGTCCACTTGCCTTTTTGGCCTGAGCCTTCTAAGTTCCCCTATGGAAGGAGTTGGCAGAGAGCTGAATGGTAGGCTGAACAAATGTTTGTTCTTTCCTCTGTTCATTGTCACCTACTCTTCAGCCCAACATTTGGATGAGAAATCCAACCTCAGTCGGCCATTCTACCCCCACACCCCAGGCCAAGTTTGTTTTTCATGCCTTTTTTGATTCCAACTTCCTCTGAGCAACTGTCTCTGCCCTTTGAACCTCGCTGCAGATGTTTCCTCCCAAGGAGCTGTAGAGTGCTGTGAGGCAGTGAGGGGTGCCTAAAATGGCAGAGGGAGCGGCCTGTGCAGAGCCTCAGTAGGCAACTGTGAAACACAACACATTCTGGGTACAAAGGAAGCCAAGCCTCACCTGAATCTGTGGGGTGTGTGGTCAGGACATCTGCTCCTGATTACATACTACACTGCCCGAAAAAGAACTTTTTTTCTCTGATTGAGGCCTTCATATTGATCTATACCACCAGTCTTTTTAATTCTTTCTCTTTTTTTTGATACCAGGGGTCAAACTCATGACCACATGCTTGCAAGGTAGGTGCTTACGCCGCTGAGCTAAATCTCCGGCCTAATTATTTCCTTTGAGACAGGATCCTACTGAGTGGTACAGGTTGGGATTGAATTTGTGACCCTCTTGCCTCAGCCTCCCAGACTCCTGGGATCTATAATGATACACCAACTCTACCTAGTCCAGTTGTATCATTAAAGGAAGAAATATTGCCATTCAAGTCTTTTCTTTTTACACAATGTGTCCTAGAAAATAAGGTGTAATTTTACAATTATTTATTCTTTTTCCCAAATTTCCCAAATGGGGCATGGTCTGAAGTCTGTCTTCTTTTTCTGTCCCTCATGTTTAAGACCTTTATAACTTTCCCCCCAAAACTAGAAAAAATTAGTATCCCTTGTTGATAAAATGAACCCATGTACCACGACCCACACCCCTGGTCCTTTTCTATTTTGAGATGAGGTCTCTCTAAATTGCCTAGGCTGGCGTGGAGTGTATGATCCTTCTGCCTCAGTTTCCTGAGTACCTGAGATTATAGGAATGTGGCACACATACAGCTTCAAATTTATCACGTGACTTATTTCTCCTACCTTATGTGTTCTCCTGAGAGAAGACACTGAAGTCAGGAACAGATATTTCCTTCAGTGATAGTGATATTTTGAGTCTGATAATTCTTTGCTGTGGAAATTCCCCCTCCCTGCAAGTTGTTACAGTCAAAACTGTCATGAGAGGATGCCACCAGGAAGACTGAAATCAGGTGACATTTCAGTGATGTGGAGATTTTTTTTCCCTTTAAGTAGGGAATTGCTACAGTCTTCCCGCGTTGTTAAAAGCGCATAAAGGCAAGATTAAATGGTCATTTTCCCAAAATCGGCTGGGGAGGGGAAGTGACGCAGAGGCGGAGGCTGTGGGGAAGAGGAAGTCAAAGCCCGGATTAGGAAACTGGGATGCAACTTTCTTCACATGGAGCTTCTTTCTGATTCTCTCCTTTTTTTCTCTTCCTTTCATATAAAGAAAATTGTAACAGGGTTTCGCTTGAGTCATCTTCCCGGTAAGGCCTTTTCTGCTTCACCTTCGTCTGACAGCATCATCAAGCATCATGTTTGAATGTTCTGTCTAACCCACAGGTTCTGCTCGGTAGCCCTATCTGTCCACCCCATGCCAGCTTTACTTTACGTGCGAGCACTTCCGTGAATCCCAGGGGCAGGGGACCGCTCCCGGGGTGGGGGGCGCTCCAGTCTGGGGTGGCAGGTGGCTTGGCGAAGTTGTAAGCAAACCCAGCCTTTCCCCGGGGACCGAGGACAGAGGTTAATAGCTATTTATGCGCATCCCTGGAAGCTGGAGGTCAAAATTGCCTCGGAAACTCGTGGCCTCCTTGTCCTCCCCACAGAGCCACACAGGCTACCCCATCTGCCCTCAGCTTGGGGGACACGACGAGCGAGCCAGCGCTTCAGATATAGGTCTAGTGACCTAAAACACAACGCTGCAACAAGGAGCAGGCCGAGCTCCTCTCAGACGTGTCCCCGCAAGTCCTTCTGCTGCTGATTTCCGTCCACGGGGAAGTTCGCCCTGGCCTCAATCGGTGCTGCGTCCCAGCCGCGGCCTCTGGTTGCCCACAGGGCAGAGACACCGTGGCCGACGCTCACCGGCGTTGGGCCCGGACGAGCCCAGCGGGGCGCTGGCCGGGTCCCCACTCCGCTAGCCGCTGAGGCCCTCCGCCTGGGCGCCAGGACTCCCGAACGCGGCCCTCCGGTTCAAACCTCTCGGGGTCGAGAGCGCGCGTGCGGAGCCCCGCGGCGCATGGCGAAGCTGAGGACGTGCCGAAGCCCCTCACCCTGGGGACGCGCAGCGCTGCTCACCTCGGGCCGGCTGCGCTTCTGCAGCAAATGCTCCAGGTAGAGGTCGGACAGCGCCGTGCGCATGCCGCCCCCGCCCTCGCTCTCGCTGGACTTGAGCGTCATCTCGCAGCAGCCGGGACGCCGGACGCAGGGCACGGGGCGCGGGGCCAGGCTCTGTGGGAGCCGGGGCCCGGGGGGCGGTGGAGGCGGCAGGGACGCAGCGTGGCGGCACCGTCACCAGCCCGCGATCTGCGCGCCTGGAGGGCGGGGGGGCGGGGCTCCTCCCCGCCCCGCCCAGGCCCCGCCCCGTCTGGCCTGCGCCCCGCCCGCGCCGCGGGCAAGCGCCCCGGAGGGCGGTGCGGGAAGCAGGATGTCCAGGGTGGCAAGCAGCGGGTCACGGAGGCCAACCCCAGGGGCTAGGAGGTTCAGGAAACCCCAGGATGTGGGCGGTCAGCACACTCTACTGCCTCTGCAAAGCGGTGCGGGCGCAGCAGGGCCAGCGCACCTTCCCGGGGCTGCGCTGCGAAAACATCTTGAGTTTCCCAAGAGCAAATCAGTGGTACTTACTGCGGCTGGCCAGTGTGCCCTGTTGCTGGTGCCGCACAATTTTACGGAGCAGTGGAAACAAACTGAGAAAACATTGCTTAGCAATCTTAACAGAGGATCCTAGTGCCATTGAAACTTAAAAACAGCCAGGCGTGGGGGCGCAGGCCTGTAATTCCAGTACTCAGGAGGCTGAGGCAGGAGAATCGTCATGAGTTCGAGGCCAGCCTGAGCTGCATAGCAAGACCCTGTCTCAGACACCACCACCACCAACAACAACAACAAAGTCAGCAGTCACGATACTCGCTTTTTAAACAAAACAAATTTTTACTGGGCTCACAGGTCTTCTGGACCCCTTACCCCAAGACAATAACCTCATACTATCGGATGCAGTTCTTTTCCCATTGGAATCTTACTCATATCCCTGGGTTGAGCTCATAGCCGAGAAGGGAGAAAACAAGAACAAAAATTTAAGGGTTGCACAGTCCAGTTTTCTCTAAGAAGCCAACTTCACGTAACCGACGACTTCCTTCGCCAAGATCACTAGAAGACAGGGAGGGAGGGAGGCTTTGAGCAATGAGACAAGACTACAGAGCTCAGAAATCCACCCAGGTAAACCAGGTGCGGTGACACACACCTATAATCCCAGCACTCCGGAGGCTGAGGCAGGAGGATCATTGCGAGTTGGAAACCAGCCTGGGCTACAAAGTGAGCTCAAGGCCTGCCTGAACTGCATAGTGAGACCACCTTGAAATACAATACAATACAATACAATACAACCCGGTATGTACAGAATTAGATTATATGACGGAAGTAGCATATTAGGTAAATAATGTAGAACTCTTTACTAACTGAAGCTAGAAAATGTGTAGTTATATTGAAAGAAATTAAAGTGCTCATTTATGCGACATGCAAGCTAATAAGTCTATTCCAAATGAGTTAAGCACTTTAATGCCAAAAACATACCCTTAAAGACTGTTAAAGAAAATATAGGTGAAGAATTTCCAACTTTGAAATAAAGATTTCATAAATACAGCAGAATATACTAATAAAATAACAATACAAACTACGGACTATAGAATAGTTTGACTTTGCTAACATGAATGAACTGGTTTTCATTTAAAGATACAATAATGAGCAAAAAAAAAATAAAGCCAACCCAGATGTATACTAGGAGAAAATATTTTCAGTGTACACAAGTAACACAGGACTCCTACTAATATAAAACACAACGAGTTAATAATAAAAACAAAGAACCCAGTAGAGAAACAGGCAACTAAAATTCCCCTAGTGGAAAAGCAATCAATCAAGAGGAGTATATGCAAGAAGATGGTAAAGGAAGATGGTGAACAGCACTACCATTGAAACTGCAGCTGGCTTTGCCAGTGTTCTGTGAGTCTTTTTAAGAAGATGGCTACCATACTGAAGGATTGGACTTGCAACTCAGTCCCTCATAGGCTATTTTAAACTATAGTGGTTTCCTTATGATCTGTATAAAGATGTCTGTGCAGCCTGGAATGGGGCACATGCCTGCAGTCTCAGCACTCTGGGCTGAGGCTAGCTTGGGCAATTTAGCACGATCCTGTCTAAAAAAATTTTTTTAAAAGACTAGTGATGTAGCTCAGCATGAAGACCCTGGATTCAACTCAAAGTCCTATAAAATTTTCTTATAAATAAAATTATAGGTCATAACATAAAGTAGGGAATTTATTTGAAGAATGTAACAATGAATGAAAGATTAGTATATGTAAGTAACTCTTGAACCAAGAAAAAGCACTAACAGGATAAAGGGTATGGGCAGGCAATATAAAAATAAAAAATAAAAAAGTAGAAATATGGTGAAGTTATGGAAAGATACTCAAACACAGTAGCAGTTTATAATATAATTTGATACATAAGTTGCATTAGTCCAATGAAATGAATACCTATTCTAAAACTTGAAATAATTATTACATGCCATAAAATCCACCCATATGAATTGAACACCTCAGTTGCTTTTGGTGTATTTACAAAGTTATGCAACCTTCAGTACTATATAATTTGTCTTTGTCCAATTGGGCTACTGTAACAAAATGATAAAAACTGAGCAGCTTATCAACAACATTAATTTTGCTCTCACAGTTCTGGAGTATGGGAAGTCCTCAGACTTCAGTGTCATTCTGGATGAAGCCCACACGGTCCCTCACCATCCTATTTCCCAAAGCCCTAACTTCTGAATATCATTATATTGGGGCCTCACTATCAGGCATATGAAATTTTTTTTGGAGACAAGATCTCACTAAGTAGTTCAGGCTGGCCTTGAATTCACTATGTAGCCAAAGCTGACTTTGAACTTGTGATCTTCCTGCCTCAACCTCCTGAGTGCTGGGATTACAAATGTGTACCATCATGCTTGCCCCAGCATATGAATTTTTTTCAGGATGTGAATTTTAAAGAAAGATAAACATCCACACTATCGACTAATGTTTGAGAACATCTTTTTTCTCATCCTTCAGGGAAACCTCCTTACCCATTCACAGTCACTTCCCATTCCCAAACTTTGGCAACCACCAATCTGTTTTCTATAGGATCACTAACTGAATCCGCCATAAGAGGTCAACCAAGCCAAACCAAACCAACAACTCTCTTCTGAAAATGTATAAGTATAGTCCAAAGTTACACTGCTGAAATTATCTGACAAACCATAAGTGGATATTTTTAGTGATTTCTTGACTGATTGTGCAGAGCAAAACAAGTCTTTTCAAGAAAATTCTTCATTGGTACCAGCTCTTAAATACCACACATATTTGCTAAGGAAATGTGCAACTCGCTGTATAAACAGAATGAATAACTGAGTGAATAAACAAGGAAACAGGGTCCCATAAACACAATCTAGCAGAAACCACAGATATCCAAATTGGACCAAAATTTTCAGATACAGGAATTCAAGTTTATCTTAAAACTAGAAAAATGTTAAATTGGTTGTAATGGTAGCAGGAAAACTCATTTCAATGAGTAAAATATATTTAATGTAATTCAACATCTCATGATTTAAAAAGAACTTCTAATAAATTATGTGTAGAAGGAACCACATTTAATTTGATTTTAAGAAGTTATTTGTAATCTGTGACAAATTACTTAGAGGTGAGAAACTAAATACATTTTTAAGATTTTGAACAAGACAAAGATACCTCTCTACTTTTTTTCACATTCTATTGGATGTTCTATTAAGCGTAGTAGAGCAAAACGATGTATAAAGATATAAAGATTGGGAGGAAAAAACCGAAATGCTCATTAGGATCAGGTACAGTATTGTCTCTGTATTTTAAAATCTATAGATAAACTATTGAAACTGGCAAACACTATTATCAAGGCTGATTTACAATCAATTTCATTTCTATACACCTACAATAGAAAAAATAGAATTTTTAAAGATATTGTTTATGACGACATCCAAAACTACCAAATATCTAGGAATAATGAGCTATACACATATACTTTAAGGAGAGAATTATAAAACTATTGCTATCTACTAAAGAGAACTAAAAATGAAGAGCTAAATCCTGCTCATCATTTTTAAGGCTCCTTCAAGTTTTCGTTAAGATGTCAGTAGCATGAAGTCCTGGAGATTTAATGCACTTTTGACAAAAACCTCAACAGATATCTTTGTTTTGTGAAATTCACCAATTTAATTTTAAAATAAGTGTGGAGTTACAACAAGCAAGAATAAAGCCAAAGTGCTCTAGAACGGCAAAATGCTTTCCAAATCACAAGACCTGTAAGAAAACTATGGTAACTGAGAGGTACAGAAATGGGTGGGTGGAAGGCAGTGGGGGGAACTTTATGTACACGTAGGTACTTGATGAGATGACAGAGGTGGCCTTGCAAAGCAGCAGGGAAAGTCACTAAGTGGTGAAACTCATAACAAAAGCTGAGACTAGTGTGAGGTGGAGTAAACACTTTCTCTAAACCACTGCATGTCAGAAGAATTGAAGAGAGAGGCCCCCTTGAGTGAAACTTAGTTAAAGTGTTTACTGAGGCAAAACTCAGAATGGAAAAGTACCTGAGGGTAAGGCAGCTAGCTGACTCAGGGAATGGATGCACACACAGCTGATCAGTTCGCAACATTCCCGTACCTTTTCTTTTATCATTGGCTAGCTCAAGTGGTCATTGTTCAGAATCTGGTTTTGCTCCTTGGAATTTATTGCTTCTGGGAATTTATGGCAACTACTCACTCGTCTCAATTCCTAGAACTGCCTTTAGGTACAGAAGTTCAGACCAAAGTTCATAAGTGGAAAATTATAGCATTTCACAATATGAGAACATGAAATGAACTTTACCTCATACCACATAGAAATTAATTCCAAGTAGCTTAAGGGCTTAAATGTGAAAGGCAAAACTATGAATCTTTCATAAGACAACATGGTAGAATTCTTTTATGGCTTTGGGATAGTAAAGGAGTTCTTAGATACCAAAAATACTAACATAGAGAATGATGATTGTCAAACATCACTACATTAAAAGCCAGGTATGGTGGCACATGTCAGTAACTCCAGTACTTGGGAGGCTGAGGCAGGAGGATCTTTGCAAGTTTGAGACCTGCCTGGGCTACAAAATGAGCTAAAAAGTTCAGCCTGAACTGCATAGAGCCAAAGACCAAAAAAAAAAAAAAAAAAAAAAAAAAAACACCTCACTACATTAAAATAAGTTCTTCCAGTCATCAAAATATA